ATTATCAAAGGTTTTTGACACCTGAGAGACACCGTAGCAACTCCTTTGCGTTTGGAAGCGGGGGGTGGGGGGAGGACCAGGGAGGATGATTCAACCACTCAACCACTAGCTGTCGTTGAAAACAACAAATCCTACACACTGTGCCTTTAAATCACATCCATTACAACAGCATGGCTTCATAATAAACTCCTGATGCTAAAACAACCTGCCTGCAGTCCAGTCCTCTTAACTGAAAACATTTGGTGCATCATGAAACACAAATTCAGCAAAAGACCCAGAACTATTTAACAGCTAAAATCCTTCTTCAACCGAGAAAGGGACAACATGCCCACTTACAAAATCCAGAACTGGTCTCCTCAGTTCCTGGACCTTTACAGATTGTTAAAAGAAGAGATCATTCTCAGTAGAGGTGCACCGGTTTCTGGGGGTTTGTCCGATTCTTGGATAAGATCGATGGAAAAGATCTGCTTTCCATCTACCTCCACAAAGGTCTGAAAATCAGCCACTAACTACTGTCCAGTTAAAATAAGTTTGTATTGTTTCAAAGGTATTGCTCAGTAGCTGCGTTTCCATTGACCATGAAAATGCGCAAATTAGAATTTCGAAAATAAATTAGCTCAATGGAAACACATCAATTTCGAAAAAAACTTACGTTTTTCGACATAATCGTTTTGCGCTAGGAGGAGGTTTTTCAGCCGTATCGAAATTGGTGTATTTCGAAAAACTGCAATGGAAACACTTTTTTTCGCGTCATGGGAGTCACGTGATCTAGAACCGGCTGTTTCTACTGGCGAAAAGACAATGAAGAAGACAACAGGAAGTAGTAGTACTAAACTCACTGGAGTTGTAAAAGAAAGTAAACTCACCGACTACAATTTCCCAAAAATGCCCCATACATTGCCGCTCCCAAGAATGAGGCTTATACCTCGAAAGCCTCGATAAGACGCCGACGTCTCCTCTGATGAGCGCTAGTGTCGTGGTAGCAGTTATGCTATGTGTTTACATGCTTTGCTGTGATGTTTGTAATGACTTATCACGAGAACAAACGTATTCACGCGTGACTTTAATAGCATTTCTTACTTAATGGAAACACCGCAATTGCGAATCTGGGTTTTTCGACATTAACAGAATATCGACAAAGTTTTGCGCACATTTGCAATTAGGGTTGCCAACTCAGTCCCTCTGAAATACAGGACAGTTTATTCGGGGGCGGGGCTTAATGATGTAACATGCCAATCATGACATCATCACACAATGTTTTTTATTTCCCCAACATTTAGGTTGGAATCCCCATAAACACGATTTAATCTTGTTTCTGTTATTTCTATGTAACATGATGGATTAAAAAGAAGGATTTACAAAACATTTTAAATTTTTCTTTCTTTACAACTTTTCAGCTGCTCAGTAAATAGGATTAAAAAAATGTAAATATAATCTATATATGCTGTTGTGAACAGATTGATACAATAATAAAGACACTAACTTTGAGTCATGTAATTTAAAGCTAATGATTGACAGGTTTATTTATTAACTATTATTTAACCAGGAAAACCCCAATTATTAAAACTAATTTCTAGCACTTAAAAATTAATGTTAAATTTAAATAAGCTTATAAGTTTTATATTGGTCAAAATAAAATAAAATTAAGTATGCTGTAGATTATGTCTTTAGATCAGTAATTCCTTTCATGAAGTTCACACAACTGAATAAAATGTACTCAAAATAACATTTTAGATTTCCTTCACACCATTAACTTCATCTCTTACCTGAGACCCTCTGTCCTACCTGAGACTCTCTGTCCTACCTGAGACCCTCTGTCCTACCTGCTGACTCTGCCTGTCTGTAGCCAGCTCCTTCATCAACAGATAAAGTATTAGTTTTTTTTACTGCCAACAGTCAGCTTTAAAAACTCAAGAAAATATAATAAAATAAAATGATTAAATAACAGATGACTAATTATTATTTCCATCACCCGACTGTTAAAAATTAAAAGTTTTCTGGCCATGAAGTTGTTTTTATGCAGAAAATACAGAAACTCAATTTTCTAAACTAAATTTCTAAATTTCAACTAAAATTTTCTGACGTGATCATTTTATTCCAGCTAAGATAAGGAAAAACAGTAGATATACTACTATAAGGTTTATAAGATTTACTACAGGTGTTCTGAAGCTAMTATCCTAATTACTGACATAATTGCTGATTTTACGAATTATAACAGGGAATCAATAAATATCAGTGGACTTGGACTCAATTTCGGCATAAAATACAGTTTAACACTCAATAACAGATTAAATGTCATCACTAAAGTTTAACTGATTGCTAACATTAGCAAGCTAACTTTTCATAGGAAAAACAACAGACCTGTGGAGTAGGGCTGCCACGATTAGTCGACGACTAATCGATTATTAAAATGATGACTAATTTAACAATCGATTAATCGTTTTCTCTTTTTTGTTCTTTACTTTGTTTTTCTCTCCAAACTGCTTTGACACCTTCCACTGCCACATCTGCCTTTCTGTCCTTGACACACATGCACAGTAGTGATAACTGGGGTAGGACGTGGACGTCACAAG